TATTTATTTATGGAAATGCACTCACTTTATAAATCACATGCCACAAATACATGCCACACTGATATTCATAATGGTTTGTCAGTAATGCTTGGCATATCTTAAAATCAATAGACAAACGTATCATACTGACAGTACTCTCTTCATCTGCAGAGTATTTCATTGTATCAAAAAAGTATGCAATAATTTACTCTTTATACTCCCATTTATTTATGGAAATGCACTCACTTTATAAATCACATGCCACAAATACATGCCACACTGATATTCATAATGGTTTGTCAGTAATGCTTGGCATATCTTAAAATCAATAGACAAACGTATCATACTGACAGTACTCTCTTCATCTGCAGAGTATTTCATTGTATCAAAAAAGTATGCAATAATTTACTCTTTATACTCCCATTGTGTTCTGTTACTGTTTCCCAGTTGTTGATAATTGTGCATACATGTATATAACTTTGTGTGCGTGTGCATTACCCGTTAACAGCTTACAGTACAGTCAGAATCATAATTTTCTTCCTTCAGTATTAATATAGTCTTATTTTCAATGGTTCCAAGGAGATGTAATACTGTACAAGAGAAAAAAAATATGGAACAGGGCGGATAGATATGTGTAGCATTTATTTACCTTTAGCATAGTAATAGAGCAAGCTGGTGTCTCTGCTGTGATCTTTTCACTCTGTTTCAGAGAACAGGACAGAGGTTCTGCAGTTTCTCTGCTATCTTTGTGCTTTGTGTGTATGCCATTACTCTCAACAATGAGGCACATTGGTTTCTTAGTCTGGATCTGTTCATACCTGTGGCTGCTTCTTCCTTACATCTCTTCCCAGTAGCTGGATCTCTCTCCTTATTTGTTAGCCTCACACAAATAGATGAAAACTCTCCCTTGACACTTATGCCAGTGGGGATGTTATACTAACATTAAAGAATAGTTCATTATATTTTAGTAGTATAGACCTACTTTCAATAGACTCAAACTTCCTTTGCTGTAAGGGAAATGCTTCAAAACTAAGCAAAACTCTCCTCTTTTCTCTTCTCTTCTCCTCATTTCTTTCTTCTCACTTGGGTAGGGTGAGTACCCTCTAAAACAAAGAGGGAAAACATTTTGTCAGTTGTTCCACAAAGTAGCCCCATGCCCTCCTCGGGGGCCACTCCAATCCCCTTCCCCTGCCCAATTTGCTGCTCTACTTTCTGCTCCTGGCTATGTGTTCCCTGCCTCCTCTGCTCCCTGCCTCCTTCCCTGTGCTCCCTGGCCAATGAGCTGCTTTGCTTTCTGATTCCTGCCCTATCTGCCACTGTGCTGCCTGCCTCCTCCCTGATCTACTGTAAACTGTCTACAGAGGCTGCCTGTGCCACTTGTGTGAATGGGAAAGCAAATAATATTTCAGTAGCTGAAAACAAAAATGGTGTAGGGATCAATCCTGCAGTGCTTGGGTTCCCAAACCTCCCTCTAATTCCATCGGCTAACCCACTTTCTCAAATAGTAGACCTTCTCGGCTCATTTAAGACAACTTCTATCTATGGCATAGAGTCAAAGAGACCTTTAGGTGCCTACAGGTCCACATATAGCTATATCTACAAAGGGGACTTAGGCATTGCAGCAGTGACCACTGTAGCACATCATTTTCAGTCACCTGGCTTCTGGTGGAAACCACATGATCTAGGTTAAGACACCAGGCCACGTGAATAATGCATGGGGAGTGTTAGGTGCCTCCTCCTGAGCTGGCATACCCTGGAATTATTTGTCTTATTCTTGGCTACAGGGAGGCACCTCCTTACAGTTGGTTTCACAAACCAAAAGTCTCTTTTTGAGTTAGGTGTTTCAAGCCCTGTCTTTCAAATCCTGAAATGTAGTTGGTCTCATTAGAAAGAATTGATCCAGAAGGCAGAGCAAATGGAACCTTAAATAGTAATACATGCAGAGAGGCATACATTCTCCTAGTCACAGAGGCATAAGTTCTCCTAGGTAACAGCCTACTTTGTCAGATGCTTTCTCAGAGAGCAACCAATGAAGTGCTGTCTCCTAGAAAACTTTGTGCCATTCTGAACAAGCTAGTCTTTAAGCTAGTCTTTCAAGTGCCATCCTGCCCTGCCTTCTTTCTTTTAAATACTGAAGAAAGTTCAGTATTTTCTTTCAAAAAGCTGGCCAGAATTATAAGGAGTGCTGCCTCTTGATCCAAGAGCTCAGTGTTCACATAGCAGTCTTCCAGCGTGCTCGACAGCTACGTTGAATTATTTTCTTGGCATCTGAGTCTGTCTCCCTTGAAAGATACCTAATGGCCAGGGTATTGGATATTGTGATCGCTCCTGTTGAAGCTGCTCCAATTTGCTTGAGATAATGAAATATGTATTGGTCCAGAACGAAAGCCCGTAACTTGAGTGTCAAATCTGGATAGATCTGGATTCTAGGCCCTACTTTACACCCAGATAGAACAAACATCAGTACTTAGTGGAACAGAGGCTGAAATCAATGGGAAGATGTCTGGAGATCAGTTTGGATGCACCTGAACTGATGCACTGCACTGTCCACATAACTCTTGCCGTCTTCCTTCACAGATGGGGAGATGAGCATATTTGTTCAGCTGCCTAATCAACCTGAGAGGATTTATCAAAGAGATCCAGGTGTACTAGATCTCTTTGTTACTCTGGTGAGTATCACATCTCTCTGTACTCTGGTGAGTACGATCATAGATTGATCATAGTACAATCTCTCTGTACTCTGGTGATCAGTTTGGCTCTGCTCTTATTTTTCTTTTGGGGTCAGCTCCCCATGCCTTTTCAGACCAAGGGGTAACGTGTAAGATAGTGGGGGGCTAGGATTTTAGGGTACCCCAAATGTAACAGCTAAAATTATGTCTGTGTGATAAAGGTGCATGCTGAAGGCTCTATAAAGATTAGACCAAGTGTTTTTCTGTATTTGTTTAAATATTAAGCTATATGTTGTTGCTAAAAGCCTAATTAAAGTTTAAGATGTAGTAAGGCCTTGTATAAAGTAAGGCCTAGTAAATTTAGCAAAGCCTTGAAGTAGCAAAGCCGTGTGGCACAGTTAAAATTACCTTATCATTGGAATTGAAGGCTTGTACTGCTATTGGTCAGTCTAAAGACAGTTGAAGTAAAAGGAATCAGAGTGGTTGTATGTTATCAGAACCATTCAGAAGCTATAAATTAGCTGAAATATCTGGAAACATTCTGAAGGAAAATACAGCTCTGTGAAAAGGATTAGTTAGCTGTTGCCTGAATCAGTGAACCCATGGGCCTTGAGGAGCCCAAGAACTGCATTCCAGGGTCCTTCCCAGTACCCCTCGGACAGCGCTGATTGGGTCCGCCTAACTTCGCTGAACTTTGTGGAAAGAGAAACTTGCTGTGTATCAGGCATCAGATGGGACTTCCAATAAGTTACTGATGTGAATTGCTTTTGTCTGTCATTGTTTGTCTTGTTACTATGCGTAGTTGTGTTTTTGTTAAGTCAATAAACCTTTCTTACCTTTCTACCCCCAAACACACTCTCAATCCCGAACCCTCTCCAGGTGGCTGGGGCAGATATTGGCATTATGAATAGGATTGAGAGGCTCTGGTCCGGAGAGAAAAGTCAGAATGAAGGGAGTTACGTGGGCCCCGTTGGTGGCTTTGCTCAAGGAAGTGACAGGGATGGAGAATCCTGGGTGGGATAAGGCTAGGTTGAGACCTGCGTAGAGTGACTTCGGAACTGTACCTGATCATTGAGCTGGGTTTGCTACTTCTGACTGGGGTAAGCCTGAGAAGGAGTGTCTTTCGTGGCTGCTGGCTGTGGTTAGGGGCCGAAGAGAATGCCCAGCTCCGGGAAGAGGTCACCCAGCTGAGTAAGGAGTTAGAAGACATGAGAGATTTCAACAGCGTGGTGTGCAAGGCTGTCCGAGCTGCACAGAGCTGCTTGTAAACATTAAAATGGAAGGAAGGAAAAATTATGATCATGCGCGAGACCGCTCCTCTCCAAAAGAGAGCAAAGTTAGCACAGGCTGTGGAGCCATCCTTCCACAAGTGTTTGTATAGAGATAAACCAGAAGTTAAGCTCTGGGAAAATCAAAAGGATCAAATTAATAAAAAGGAGGAAATTAATGATGAGGCTGGTGCTGACCACCCCCGTATGTTCCTGCCCAAAGGGAGGAACCTAGCTTGGCCTTCCCTGCCCCAAGGCAGAAACTCAGTCAAGTTTTTCCCATGGTAATAACTCATTCAAGGCTGCAAGAAGAGAATCCCCGAACAGAGCTGCATTCCTTTACCCGTGCAGAGACTTAAAATATTGAAAAGCAGCAGAAGTCCAAGCCAGGAGAGCCAGTAATAGACTGAATAGTTCAAATGTATAGTAAAGAAGCCTATGTTATATCTGCGAGTAGAGCCAAAGCAGCAAATTGTTCTGCACCCTGAGCTCCAGTTACATCCATTTGCAGGAAATGATGAAAATGTTACTTTGTTTTCTGCTGTGCTCCAAGCCACTGCA